TTCACAGCGAGATTCCTTCAAGAACTCCTCAGTCTCCACAGCCTCCACTCCCCTCCTTGTCTCCTGTTCCCACTCGGATTTTGTCCTCCCAGTCTTTAGAAACTGCATCAATCTTTACATTGATATCCAAGTGGCCAATGCCCTCGGTCTCGATAGCTTTTGGTCTGGAGAGACTGTCTACACCCGGCTTCTGGACCACCTCACTGTGGTGTTTCTCCTGGATAGTCTCATCTTTCCACCCTCTCTGTTGGAAGAAACACTCTAGGGAGTTGCCATTAGGATTGTTTTTTGTGCCTCTTCCCAAACATTGGTAAACTACTCTGCCAGTGTTTATGCTGTGACTTCCAAGTTTACATCTCCAGTTCTGACCTCTCCCCTAGATTTCAAATTCATTTATATAACCACTCACTTGACACTTTGACTTAGTGCATCTCAGAAGCACATCAAAGACAGTATGCCTGAAGCACAATGCATAATATCTACCTTTGTCTCTCCTTTTTCTGGTACCAAATGCCCACTCCATAGCAAATGTGTTCAGTTGCCTTGAGAATAGGTACTTAATATGTAAACCCACCCACTTCTCTGCTGCTAGTATCCCAATCATCATCACCTTTTCTCTGGTGGACATGAGCCTCCTATCTTCTCTCTTGCTGACATTTAACCCACCCCAAGGGTGGACATGTATTTCTCAGTTCCACCATTCTCTGGGCTCAGTGACCCTGGCCTCCTAGGTGTTATGCACATATACCAAGTCCACTGCTGTTTTCTGCTGGACAGTTCTTCCCCTGATAGAACCCTCTGTACTTCCGTTGATCTACTTTATCCAAGGCCATGTGGTGCACACACATATACATATAGGCAAAACGCCCATCCACATAAAATAGTGATACATTCTTAGCTGTCAAATGTGGGTGAAACCCCCTTCATTTCTTTATGCTTTGACACTTTGGGGCTATTTCTCAGTCTGATGTAGCTGGCTCACAAGGTCCTGATAAGTCCAGAGGCGAGAACTTGTCAGTAACAAACGAATAACTTGCAGCTCTTTCAAAACGGTCGTTAATTCACTTCAAAATCATTTTAGTTTAGCTGTCACTAGACGTGCTATATATATATTAGTAGAATTCAGCATTTCCGATCTTTTTGGGAAAGTGTAATGGCAACAACACTTTCTACATATTCACCAGAGAATGTACTTCCTTCCACTTCCTTTCTAGCCACTCATCTGCTTTCTGCAGCTGGAAAAAAATACTAATTACACAAGTCTTTATTTCTGTGTCTCTTTATAAATCCAGAGCTTCCAAGTGGAAAGATAGCATCAAGTTCATGCTCTCGGAGTTGATGGTAGAGCTCCGTGTTATCTATCATGTTCTGCTTGTATAGCATCTAGCATAGAGTGTAGTTTTCTCAACAAGAGTTACCACACTTTCAAAGGACGCTGTGGCTTCTGCAAGAGACTGAGGTGTTCGTATCTGTCTTGGTGATACACACTGTCCATAAGAGTGAATTTTTGTTGTTGTTTTGTTAATTTTTTTTTTTGAGACAGAGTTTCTCTGTGTAACAATCCTATCTGTCCTGGAATTCACTCTGTAGATCAGACTGGCCTCAAACTCACAGAGATCTGAGTGACTCTGCCTGCTGAGTGCTGGGATTAAAGGTGCACAGCACCACCACCTGACAAGAATGATTTTTATAAAAGCTAAAGGGGAAGAAGAGTTCTTGATGTTTCCGTGTGTGTTTGTGTGTGTGTGTGTGTGTATGTGTGTGTGTGTCTGTCTGTCTGTCTGTCTGTCTGTTCAAACTGAATGGCCAAGTAGGAAACAAGTTAGTGCCCTGTGGTTATGTCAGACAGAGCACTGGTAGATTGATGTTTCTCGCACAGGGTCTGATCAGTAGTCTGCTGTCACGTCCCCAGTGCCTGATCAAGATTTTAAGGTGCCCCAAAGGAGTAGAAACATTTGATCCCTTTAGCTAATGTTCTCAACAAGTCTATGGCAGCAGCATCTGTTGCATGCTTACTCACTAACAAGAAGACCCTGTTCCAGTCCGTGTCTTTTCTCTTTAGTCACCTAGAGAACCAGCTCTGTGTAAGTAGTGCAGGGGCCAATGGCTTAGTTCACATGCTCAGAAAGCTAGTGACTCAAAAACAACATTCGCTTTATGTGAGCCAGGAGCAAGGTAAGCAGGGTATCATGAGAGCTCAGTGTTGATGTCTTACCAGAAAACTCACCCTGCACTTTTGAGGAATTGGTTGTAAGGTTAACCAATTCACAGTTTGGTTCATGTGCTTTAATTCTGTAATTCCCAAACTCTAAACTCCTGGTGCCATTCCTAAGAGTAGTTCGCTTGTGGCAACAGCTGGCTTTGGTTAGTAAGGTGGCTGTGGTAGCCAGAGCCCTGGTGGCTGCTCAGCATTCACGGGACAGCCTGGCTGTATTTGTTCAGGAAGTTTGTAATGAAAGCTGTTCTGTAAATCAGGAGCTGGGGTTCAGTGGGAGCAGCTTGGCTTCAAGGCAAGAAAGTACTGTCCTGATCCTTAACTACAGCATCTATGATCAGACACAACTTCCACTCTGCCAGCCTCTCTCCTCAAAGCTTCCACATCCTTAGTGTTAATTGTGACAAATTTGCATATCACGAAATTGACCCTTGTTACTGTGTTTAGATGTGTAGTCAGTAGTGCTGAGTTATGGTCACAATGCCCTGTGACAGATGTGCAGATGTTTCATCTCACAGAACTGAGTCTGCCACATTACACCACCTACCCTCTCCCTTCCCCAAGTCCATGGTAACTTCCCCAAGTCTACTTTCTGTCTGAATTTGTTTGCTCTATAATGCCTGTGCATGAAATCAGATAGGATTGCCTTTCTGTGACCATCTTGTTTCACCTAACATAGTTTCCTTAAAGCTCAGCCATTTTGTGGAATGTGCCAGAATTTACTGCCTTCCGAAGGCAAATATTCTACTTTGTCACCCATTTATCTATCAATGAACACATGATTTACTTTTACCTCCTAGCCATACTGAATAATACTTCTGTGAACATGGGTGTGCAAACAGCTGTTTCTATTATTGCTTATTATTTGTTTATTTATTTTATATGTATGAGTGTTTCCTGTGCACGCACTTGTGTGCTAGTGCCTACGGAGGCAAAAGGAGGGTATTGGATCCCCTGGAAGAGAAGCTACAGATGGTGTGAACTGCCATGTGCTGGAAACTGGGCCTGGGTCCTCTGCAGGGGCAGAAAGTGCTCTTAAACAACAAGCTCTCTCCAGCCATTAAAAGTTTATTTGACAGAAAAACAGTTGCTTTTCTGGGCTATGCTCAAAAGTGAAATGACTGGATCCTGTGTGATGTTGTGTTGCATATTCTCAGGATCTGTCACACTTGTATGTGGCCAAGAAGGTCCAGTGAGGTAGATAATAGAAGCTAAAACTAACAAGGTAAAATTTTGTCTCATCTATTTCTGCCACTTACAAGGTCAGTGGTCTTTTGCTTAGAGATCACCATTTGTGCTTCTCAGTGTAATCATGTAGAGAATGAAAACAGTAACTCCTGTCTGTGTGCCGGGCTCACTCATTCATTTGTTGAGTGACTGATGGAGAGGTGCGGCTCTGTTGCTGGAGCTACAGTTGTACACAGACACAGTTCCTGTTCTCGTGGATTTGGCCCTGAGCTGATCAGTTGCAGGTATCTTCTAAAAGGTAATTGTTTGTATTAGATACTTTTCTGCTGTTGGGTGAAATACATGACCAACACCAATGTATAGAAGGAAGACTACATTCACCAAGAGATAGTCCATAATGTCAGGAGAGGCATGGTGCCCATTGGTTGAGCAGGAAGCTGAGAGATCACATCTTCCACACAAAGGAAGCAGAGAGGATGAACTGAAAGTAGGTGAGACTAAAAATTAAAAGCCCATCCCCAGGAACACACTTCCTCCAGCAAGGCTCCACTCCCTACAGGTCTCACACAGACACAGACACAGACACAGACACAGACACACACACACACACAGACACACACACACAGACACACGCATGCACACACACAGACGCATGCACGCGCGCGAGCACACACACAGGCACACCTACTGACAATGCAGTGCCACCAATTGGGAACCAAGTATTCTCATACATGAATCTATGAAGAGCTTTTTTCTTTCAAAGCAGCACAGTGTTCCTGTGTCAGTCAGCCTGTCTTCCTGGAATGCTCAGATTCTCTTTGATCAGCTGGGCAAAGACTCTATAGAAAATGAAAATCAGCAGAGATGCTAGCTGTTTCTGTCAGAGACGTTAATTTCTTAGATGCACTAAATTCTCATTCACAAAACATTTGTAGAATAAGTAAAGAATGGTGATGGGATTTGGAGATTCAAGGTGAGGAAATACATCTATCCAGAAATGTTAAACAGATATTAATATAGCATGGACCCAGACATGCTGGCAAATGTTAATAATGCCAATCCTGGGGTGACTGAGCCAAGGGGATATGGCCAGCCTGGGCTACATAGTGAGACATTGCCTACACTATGTCTAGCAATCATGAGTAAGTAGAACTGGCCGAAATCTTAGAGCGTGAAAGACTTGGTACTGCATTTTCAAGTGCGCAGGGAATACAATCATCAGAAGACACCAAGCACAATGAAAGAGAATCAATGTCACTTGTTCAATGACAGTCTACATTTAACGGCCAATGTGATCTCTTGAATTTTATTGAGCAATAAAAGGAGAGCTTAATTCATGAGGTAATATTTCTGTTTTGTGTAAAACAACAACTTAAAGTTCTTTTTCCCTTCAAAGAAGTTTTGCTTAGTGGTAACAACTTAAGTGACAGCTTAGCTTGACTGACAGCTCAGGCAGTGAGGAGGATGACGTTTTACTGTTCTGAAGGCCTTGGGCCATGACATGTGCTTTGATATTCACTTGGACAAGCACTGTATGGTGGCAACGAGCCTGCCTCACAGTTCCTCAGCAGGTGCCCTTCTCCCTTCTCTTCTCCAGGCAAACATGCAGAAGACATATTTGGTGAGTTGTTTAATGAGGCTAACAGCTTCTACATCAGAGCCAATTCTCTTCAAGACAGAATTGATCGCCTTGCTGTCAAAGTCACCCAGCTGGACTCCACAGTGGAGGAGGGTAGGTAACTGCATGAAAGCAGTGAGCTGCACAAGATGTCGGCACAACAGTAGTAATTAACTTCAGCGTAATCTCTGCTTTTCCTCCTGGGTAGCACACTGCCACTTATCTTGTCTCTTCCTGGAAGAGCGGGAAGGGAATGCCCCATAACACTTGGTTAATTAGTGACTTAAAAGAAAAAAAGATTCACATCTCATCTACTTCGTATGTCATGCTCTTATTTTTAAAAGTTGCAGGTGTTACATTTGAATTCAATAATAATAATCTTAAGACAGTTTCATTTTAATTGAGTTTTGAAGTTTTATTTACATATTAAAAAGTAAAATTTTAATGTTTACTTGGTCTGTTCAGGTAAGGAATTCTTAGTGTTTTTTAAAGATTTATTTGACTTTTTAATTAATGTGTCTCTCCGTGTCTATGTGGGTGAATGTAGGTATCCATGGAGCCCAGAAGAGGGCATTGAAAGCCCTGGAGCTAGAGTTACAGGCAGTTGTGAGCCAGCCAGTTTGGGAGCTAGGAACTAAACCCAGGTCTCCTGCAAAAGCACCAAGTGTTCTTACCTGCTGTGACGTCTCTGGCCTCAGTTTCTTTATCTTAATTGGTCACTTTGTAAATGTGCATTACAGCTGAGTTTTAGATTGTCTTTCTTGTGCATTTTTGTTGACTCTTAGAATTAGATGCTTGTGATTAACTCTACACTGGAAAAGGTGAGTAGGTTAAGTGATATGAAGTTTCAGGGCATGTGTCATGTCTCTAAACTCTTTTTCCAGGCACGATTTCACTATATTGTTTGCACTGGCATGCATATTAACATTGCAGAGACATTTCCCTTAAAGCTAAGGAATATAGATCCTTTCTCTGGGCTGTCACAATAAATTTATTGGTAATGTTGCACAGCATATGTGAGTTACAGTTTTAATGATCTAGTGGAAGGGCAAATGCTACCAGCTGGGACACCTAATGTCCAGGTCGGATGTGTTAAACACAACGAAAAAGTTGTGGAAAAATGTAAGCAGGCTCACCCACCCAATCAGCTTACCTAGCTCAATGCTGTTTCCTAGATCAGGGTGAGGACTATGTGGGTCATAGGTGGAAGAGCTTCAGGGTCTCTCCTCCCCTTCGATGAGAGAGATGCTGCCACATGTGCACTGCTCTGTGCAGGTGTCTCACTGAAACTGGTGCTGTGGTGTCTCCTAAGATCCCCAGATCTCTGCACATGTCTGCTATACTCAGCTGTTTACTGTGCGGTGTCTGAGAAGGGCTACTCACACAACAGCAACAAAATGATCCCCTGGCCCAATGAAATATTTCTGTTGTCACAAAAGAAAAGGAAGCTATAATTTGACCTCCTGTCATAGAGAAAACTTACCCTTTAGAGGGAGGAAAGGGCATTCTGCTTAAGCAAGGTTTTAAAGGAACAAGAAAAACTGTCATTTCAGGAGCTAGAGCAATGACTTATTGGTTAAGAGCACTTGATGCTCTTGTAGAGGACCCAGAGTCAGTCCCCAGCAAACCACATTGGCTGTCTCACAACTGCCTGTAACTCAAGTTCCAGAGGATCCAATGCCCACGTCTGGCTTCTGCTGGAACTGCACACATTGCTCAGGCACATACACATAAAATAAATCTCTGATTTAAAAGCCAATATTGGGTCATTCTGGGAGATGTTTACGATTCTGAGTTAAACGTTGGTGCTAATTTCTAAACAGAAAACACTTCTATGTAACTCACCCTGGGGACTTTTCTCTCAATAGTCTCACTGCAGGATATCAACATGAAGAAAGCATTCAAAAGCTCCACCATCCAAGACCAACAGGTGGTTTCCAAGAACAGCATTCCCAACCCTGTTGCTGACATTTACAACCAGAGTGACAAGCCTCCGCCTCTGAACATTCTCACACCGTACAGGTACGGCTCCCTCCTGGCTTCCCCACGGCCTTTACAGTGGAGGTGGATGGATGCTTGACAGAGGCAAAAATGTGCTGATGTGCTGGGTGGAGCCACCTTTGAGGGCTCCTTTGGGTTGAAAAACATTTTGAAAATAGTTAACTGCTGTATCATGCCCAACAAAATGACCTATTGCTACAGAGTTGTTGGAGTTCATAATTGTAAGATGCACACCAGAAGGGTAAGCTCTGATTTCCATGCTCAGATGCAGATTTCAGCAGAAGTGGCACTTTGCGCTGCATACCAGGTGTGAGTATGCTGTTCCTTGTGCTCAAAGTTAGCTGGAAAGAAATGGCACAGTTCATTTATAGCATGGTAAAATCCTCGACCCAGCCCTGCAGCCCCACACAGACATCTGCTGTTCTGTTGTTGCTACCGTGGTTGGGCATATCAGGGACAGACTCCAGGAGAAGAATAGAAAAGCAATAGTGCCACATTTATAGGAAGAGGCCACCTGCACACACGCTTGCCAAGCACTGAACGTCCCTCCCATCACTGTGGTGTTTTCTTCTTATACCTCCTGCATCACCTTTGGATCTTTCTTGCTCATTCTTACTGTCCTCTTGCCTTCCATGGTGGGCCTTGTCCCTATGCCCATCTTTCCTCCCCCCTGTGAATCTCACTTCACCAGCACCTGCTGGGCACAGCGGTGGGAGCCAGCAGCGCTCACTTCACAGAGTCGGGGCTATAGCTCAGTGTCTGTGATGGTCACGGAGAAGCCTGTGTGCTCTTGGTCTGTGGTTGCCATCCTGACATTCCTACTACAGAGCCCTTTGGTCCTCCTCAGAACGGCCCAGGCTCTCCATCTGGTTTGGAGCTAGTCTCCATGATAAGAAAATTGCAAGTGTCACCTTTTCTTTCTGCTGGACAGAGAGACTCTCTCAGACAAATGGGCATGCACCCTGGAAACTGACAGGAGATAGGCAACGTGCCTCAGCTTCAGTGAGACAAGTGTGCTTTCCTAGAATTTAGAGCACACACATTTAAAACTAAGATGTTTGTGAATAGAAACATCTCTCCCGCCCACCCTCTTTTCCCACTAATTTTTGTTTTGTTGTTCCTTTGTTTGGGCATAAATGTTCTCCTGTCTGTGTGTTTAACTGACTTTGCATCTCTTTTGCACATATTTAACTTAGTGGAATACGGATATAAAGAGTAAATCTCATGATTTTGTTTTGTTTTATTTTTTCAAGACAGGGTTTCTCTGGCTGTCCTAAAACACGGCTCCAGGCTGGCCTTGAACTCTCAGAGATCCACCTGCCTCTGCCTCCTGAGTGCTGGGATTAAAGGCAGGTGCCACCACTGCCTGGCCCTCCTGATTTAATTTTGAACATAGAGTCTACATTACATCATGACTATTCCAAACATTACAGAAAATGTTTTAATTCTTCCATTTTTATTCTGAGAGCAATGGAAAGCATTCTTTAAAGACTCTGTTTTTATTTTTGATTATATATCTGTCTGTGTGTGCAGTGTCCTCAGAGGCTGGGGAGGGTGTAGTTACAGGCAGTTGTGGCCCCTGACATGGGTGCTGAGACCTGAGCTCAGGTCCTCTGGAAGAGAAATTGGAGCTTTTAGCTGCTGAGTCATCTCTCTAGCTCCTTGAGCAGTGCTGTTGATTCCTATAGCACCTTGAATTCGTGGTGGCTAGGTTATTACTGGTTCAGTGGTAAGGGAGTAATTCACACAATGACTTGAGATATTATTTAGACTGTGGCAATCATAACAGTACTGAGATAGCCACAGGGAATGAATGTGTCTCTGTCCTGTCCACGTACCACAAACATTTGCCTTCTTTCCATAACGGTGCTGAGTAAACCTGAATTGACAAAGAGGACAGAGCACTTACTAGTTTTTTATATCGTAACTGTATTGACGGTCCCAGTAGAAGTTAGTGTGCACTGAGCATCCAGCTGCCTCTATATGTAGCTTGCTGTTGGGATAAACCAAATAGTTCCTTAAATGCATGAGCTGTTAAAACTGGATATTTGTGAGGTGGGGGCAATTGTCACAGAGAATTTGTACCTAGTTAGCTCTCAGTTTTTAAGTTTGTAGGGTTATTTGCTTTTGCGCCTGTTTCCATGTCTTTCCAAATAGGGAAGTTTAGGGCATGATACATAAGGTGGTTAGGATGCCTCACGTAGGTGTTAGGATCCAAAGAGTTAGATTTAATGCCAACCTCCCGACAAAGGTCGCTAACAATCTTTCTCGCCCTGACTTTGAATGCATTGGTCCATAGAGATGATAAGAAGGATGGGCTGAAGTTCTACACAGATCCCTCTTACTTCTTTGACCTCTGGAAAGAAAAGATGCTGCAGGACACAGAAGACAAGAGGAAGGAGAAGCGACGTCAGAAGGTGCGTGGCTGGGTGGCATGCTCTCACCAGTGTGCACACGGGTCCTTGCTCAGATAGTGGGGCTGTGACATCTAGTGCACAGGTTTTCTCAGGGTGCCCTCTTTTCACACGGCAGTCCTGACACTTTAATCTAGCACAGCAAGGCTATTTTAAGAGAAATACGGCAGTTTGTTCTACAGCACTTGTCTGTCTTTAACAAAAGAAGTGGCGCCCTCTCCATTTGGTTTCTGACTGTTTCATAACCCCTGACCCTTTGCTCCCTCAGAGCTTCATAGAACAGTCAGTGCTCCCATCAGGCATCTTAGTCACATTCATGCTGTCGGGCAACCACCTGACTGTGACTGACAACTTGGTGAGGTGTTCGTGAGAGATTGGGAAGCATGAGTGACTGTGCTTTCAGAGAGATATCCTACAGGGGGTGGAGGTAGAAAACAAGAGGAATCCAAGTTGGCACATTTAAAGCCAGCTGCCCTACACACCATCTTGGCAGGACAAGGTGACTTGTTCAGGTTCAGGGACTTCCACTTTGAAACCAGGCCTCTTGACTGAGAGTTTAGACCTACCCCATTGAGAGTAATGAATTTTATATATAAGCTGTGTTCAGAAATCAACCTCATGCCATGCTTTCAATCCCAGCATGGGAAGGCAAAAGCAGGCAGATTTCTGTAAGTTCAAGACCAGCCTGGTCTACATAACAGATGCTGGAACAGCCAAGGATACATAGTGAGACCTTGTCTCAAAAGAAAAAGCACCAAACACAAACCTGAAAACCAAGAACAAACATCAATAATATAATATTGCCAAGTGGTAGTGCCCACCTTTAATCCCTGCACTCAGGTGGCAGAGGCAACCAGATCTCTGTGAGTTCAAGGCCAGCCTGGTCTACAGAGGGTGTTCCAGGACAACCAGGACAACTATCAGCTTGCTTGATAAATACTAGGTCATACTGGAAGAAATACCCAGCCCTCTGTGGGACAATCTGAGGTTTGAAGTGTTTAGCTGTACTGATCTAGTTGGAGTGGAGTTGAAGATGAATATGAACTTGAGGTTTGGAAATTGGATTTAAGATCAGGCCAGGTGCAACTCAGCAGCAGGGCACCAGATCATATGCACAGGTCTTGGCTTCACAGAGGGGGTGGGGTGGGGTGCCCCGATTCTTACACTCAGGGTTACACAGGTGTAACTGGGGAATCTGGAAAGAACTGCTGAGTGTTACAAAGAATTCAAGAGCAAAGAAGTCATGGAAGAAAAAAAGTGTCTAAAGCCATTCTTCTCTAGCTCACCATAGCTTTCATTACAAAACCCAGGACTTTCAGGAAGGCCTTCCATGGACACTTCCTGCCCTTCCAAAAGTCCCTGCCTTCTTAGGGTCCTCTTCAGGAGAGGGTTCCCTTCTGGAAGTTTTATTTGTTTGTTCAGGTTTGTTTTGCCTATATGTATATCATGTATCACTTGAGTGCTTGGTGCCTGCTGAGGCCAGAAGGGGGCATCAGATCCCCTGAAACAGGAGTTACAGGTAGTTGTGAGCCACCGTGTGGCTGCTGGGAATGGAAAACCAGTCCTTTTAACCACTGAGTCATCTCTCCAGTCCTGTGTGTGTGTGTGTGTGTGTGTGTGTGTGTGTGTGTGTGTGTGTGTGTGTGTGTGTGTGTGTGTGTGTGTGCGTGTAATAAATTCTAGGATCCATAAGTGAAGGAATACATGTGACATTTGTCATTCATAGTCAGGCTTAATTCACTTAGTATCAGAATTTCCAGCAGATCCATTTTCCCTTTTTCTTTGTAGCAGAATTCAGTTCCTTGTGCACGTGTCTGACATTGTCTTTATCCATTTCCCTGTTGACAGTCAACATTTAGCTGTTGTGAGTGACACTGTAGTAAAGCTTTGGGAGGAACCATCTCTTTGATAAATTGACTTAGAGTCCTTTGGGCAAATCCCAGAAGTGGGGAAGCTGGTCTGGTTTGGGTTTCAGGGGACCCCTATATTGCTTCCCTGGGTGCAGGATTAATTTACATCCAGGCCCAGAAAGTGTTTATGGTTCCCTTATCTCTGTCCTCACAAAAAGTGCTTTTCTTAGTGAGTGTTGGCTCTGGCTGAATTGAGACAGACTCTGGGTGTAGTTGTCAACTGTGTTTCCTAAGAAGGTACTTGCAGGGCTCCTTCCTGTAGTCTGTGAATTTGTATAGTCTGAGGGCCAGTGGGGTAGAGCATGTTTTCATGTGTTACATGGGGTCTTACTCCCCGAAGTGCATATGTTGAACCATCACCACACCTCCAGAATGAACCAATTTGATCATGGTGCATGATATTTTTGATGTGTTCTTGAGTTGCATTTGCAAGCATTTTCCTGAAAATGTTTGTGCCTCTGATAAGGAAATTGCCAATAATTATCTTTTTGTTGCTGTTTTATCTTTATCCTGTCTTTGTATTTGGGTGATACTGGCTCTGTTCAGAATGTTTGGTGACATTTCTCCCTTTCTAGTCTAGAAAGCAGCATAGGAAGCATTTCCGTTAGCTCTGTAACTGCCTCACAGATGCAGCAGGCATCTGGGGTTTTTGAGAGACTCTTTTCTTTTTTATTACTGCTTCAATGTTGCTTTTTATAGGAGTTTAAGCTGTTTTTTTTTACTCTTTGCTTAATTTTGGTAGGTCATAGGCACCTAGACATGCATCTATTTCTTTCATGTTTACCAACTTACTCTAAAGCAGGTCTTCGGTTATGGCCCTGTAAGTTTCTGAATTGTATGCTGTCTGTTCCTGGATTTCCCTTCTCACCACTAATTTTATTAATTTGGATCTGTGTTTGGATTTTTTCCATTGGTTTGACTAAATGCCAACCATTTTTATCTTTTCAAATAACCAACCCTTTTGTTGATTTTTTTTTTTTTACAATTTCATTTCTTTCTCCCCTGGTGTCTGTTATTTCTGTTCACCTGCTGATGGGTTTTTCTTGTTCTTATTTTTCCAAGACTCTAAGGCACATTGTTAAGTTTGTATTTCAAATCTCTCATGTTTTTAAGATGTGGACACATCACAGCTATAAGGCTGCTTTTATTACATCATGGATTCCTTTAGCTTGTATTCCTCTTCGTGGAAGTGTTTCTCCTTCAACAGTAACTGATAGTTTTGCTGGACATAGTAATCTGGGTTAGCAGAAGAAGGGCATGCATGAGGTGGGGTCAGTAAGGACAGGAGGCAGGTGTGATGGGCACAGAGCTGTGTTGCATGGTCTTGGAATTCTAATGTGGGCCAGTATGGTTGAGATACAGTTCATTATTGTTAATATTTAGCAATGATGGCCTGGTGTGTGTCTCCATCTTATATACATGTTACTGGATAGAACTGAAGGCTGAACCGTTGTGACGAAATAACACACCTATTTCCTGAATATGTCAACGTGTGCCTCTCGAACAGGAAGAGGGATAGCTGGTGAGTGCCTTTAGCACTGAGCTCTCAATTAGGTTGCAAATTGGCTTCACACTGAAATTCCCCTCCCCCTTTTTCTTTTGGGTTTTAAAAGTAGACAGACAATATGTCCTAGCTATAGCACAGCCAAGTGGCTTTAAGGTGACAAAGGCACACTCTCTCTGTGAGGACCTAGCATTGCTTAGCAGTCGTGTGAGCATCTTTTCAGACCATGTATTAAGGCATGCACACACATGTGGTAAAGCATTTTATATATGTAGAATCATACCAGACATGATTTGTGCACACATGAATTATTAAAGATGTGGTGTTTTTTTTCTTAATAGCATACAGTATCCTGAAATACAAATGCCCTATAAACTACCTGCCCTTTGCCATGCTGAGTGTAAACTGCACTCTTAAAGTACCCCAGTAGGATTCCTACAGCAGCAGAGTTGGTTTTTAGGATAAATTCCTAGAAGTTGAATTGCTGTTAATGAGGAGGAAGCAAGGCAAGGTCTGGGTGGTCCCGTCATATCGCCCCTGCCTCTCAAAAGGCTGAAGACTTAGTTTACACTGTCAACAGGCTTTCGCCAGCCTCTAGTAGTGTTAGTTTGCTGAGTGTCCCATCTCATCTGCATCCCGTCTTTCTGTGTCCTCACCTGACATTCTGCATCTTGTGTGCATTTGATGTTTTTACTCTTTGTTCCAGATCTTCTAAACACCTCTAATCCACTCTGCCCACCAATCTCTCACTGCCTTCAATTGCAGGCATTTGGTATACATATATACACATGTACATATTTAAATATATGAAATGTAGAAACATATAATATGCCTATCTAATATAAAGTTGTAAGATATATCACATTTTAAAATATAGATACATTTATATTTTACCATATTCTACAGAGACACTTGTTTATTCTAGCTTTCAGTCTTCCCTTTCCAGAGTACAAACTCCATGAGGATAGAAACTGTGTGTGTGTGTGTGTGTGTGTGTGTGTGTGTGTGTGCTTGCCATTTGTGTCGTCAGTGCCTGAGTGCTGATCATAGACCCTGGGACATGCTTACGCTTGAGGTATGGTGTGTGGTTTTGATCATTCAGCCAGCATTTATTGACTGTATGCTTCCTGTAAAGGTAATACAGTGTGGTGAGGTCCATACGGGAGAGTTGGGGCCGAGGGAGCACACAGCCTTTGTCAAGAGAGATCATAAATGTTTGTGCAAGAAAAGGGACAGATGTGTCTCAAAGAGGATCTCACCTTGGAGGAGGGGCTTGCATGGGACCACAGTGAACACTGAATGTGCTTTAGCTAACAGGACTGGTATAAGAATGGTTTTGTGTGTGAACAGGTAAGTTGTGTGTGTGTGTGTGTGTGTGCGCACACACGCGCGCACATGCACATGCACACACTCATACATGCTCATGCTCTTGTAGGGTGTTCAAACTGTCAGTGAGAGAATGATTTTTATGAATGGTTTTACCAGATATCTCACATGGGCAGTGCAGATCTAGGTGTGAGCATGTTAAACAGGCCATAACCCTAGCGAGCAAGGGTCCAGTCCCAAAGGCGAAGGTAAGTGCTCTAGTGGGAGTGGGAGCCTTTTGTTTCTTTAGAGACCCACTTGATTTCTGATGGACCTGGTGAGCCCGAGGCATATGCTGTCCTAGAATCTCCTTACAGTCGGGTATAAGCAGGATGAAAATGCCTCTTGTGTGTGCACCAGGCTTGTTTATTGTGCATTTAACTGCATCTAACCTGCTGTTTTCCTTTCCCTTCTGTCTTGGCATGCTTGCTTTCTTTTCCTGGACATCAGGAGCAAAAACGTGTAGATGGCACCACCCGTGAGGTGAAAAAGGTTAGAAAAGCCAGAAACAGGCGCCAGGAGTGGAATATGATGGCGTATGACAAAGAGCTTAGGCCCGACAACAGGTTGTCTCAGAGTGTGCACCACGGAGCATCCTCCGAGGGATCTCTGTCCCCAGATACTAGGTGTGTGCGTGTCACGTGCCCCTCTCCCCATGTTTGAGCCCCTGTATTTTGGGTTTCTGTGTGCCCCACTATGTCTTAAAAATGACATCCATATTTTGATTTGAAAATAATGCCTTATGGCAGTGCTATTTGAAGTTGGGTTACTTTGCATGCTGTTTAAACTTTCTTAAGTTTGCTCTGGGGTTTAAAGTGGAATTTAAATGTGGATTCTGCACTTGGGTGACTGTCAATGACTTGAATTTTGCTTAGTTGTCCCTTACTACTTTAATGTAGATTGTTGACTTTCCTTTGTTCTTTGTCACCTAACTGTGATCATGGGGTGGTAGTAGTGACCCTGGAAGACGTTCATTCGAAGAAGACACAGACAACAGAGGGCTGATGTCTCACCTTTGGTAACTCATCTTACAGGCTCTCATTTCAGGAGAACTTCCTACTGAGTTTTCTTCTAAAAGTTGCCATCACCTAAATAAGAATATTTCTTGCAGGTGCAAACAGTGAAGTCATGAGGTCACATTTGTCACAGAGACTCACCCAGTGACTGCTAGCCAGCTTTAACTTTGGTTTAATGTCTTGCTTCAGTTTTATTGAATCATTGTGATCCATGTGTATGGACTTCCAGTCTACAGTATTACAAGTTTGAATTCAAGTTGGGTGCCCAGCTCAGATGGAAGAGTGATCACCTGGCATGTGTGAAGCCTTGAAGCCTGGAGTGTCACAATCCCCGCATGGTGGCACATGCCTCTAATCCTAGCACTCAGAGGTGGAGGCAGGATGATTGGAAAATCAGGGTCCTCCTGGGCTACATACCCAAGGCCATCCTGGGCTACATACCTGAGGCCATCCTGGGCTACATACATGAGTCCATCCTGGGCTACATACCTGAGGCCATCCTTGGCTACATACCTGAGGCCATCCTTGGCTACATACCTGAGTCCATCCTGGGATACATACCCGAGGCCATCCTTGGCTACATACATAAGGTCATCCTGGGATATATACCTGAGGTCATCTTAGGCTATATACATGAGGCCATCCTGGGATGTATGAGACTCTATCTTTAAAATAACAACAAAGCACTAAATTTATCAAGAAAATGTCAAAAACAGCAAGAAATCAAGCACCTCACACTTGATTTCTTCTCTTTGGTTCTTTCTTCTTTTCACCTTTAAACGTCAGCGATTAGAGCAGTCTCTACCTACCCAAGCAATAGGTGGGTGTTTGCTAGGACACAAGTCTAAACTTGTTGCAGGGCATTTGACATTGCTTCCTGCCCAGGCCTACGAGCTCTGAAAAGGCAGGCCCCAGGTAATCTTTCTACACACCTGCTGCCTACAGTAGTCAGAGAACTCTGGGAGCTTTGGGTTCTAGCCTCACATTTGAACTTCAGTGTCAGTTTATTGATATTACGGTTCTCTTCCTAAGGTGAGGGAGACAGGGACCCAAGAGTCCTCACCAGTGTCAATTTGTTGTTTTGACAGATAGCTTAGTTGGAATTTTAACTTTGTCATGCAAAGCACATACCTGTTTTCACTCCGTATATGCTCTAATTTAAACACGTATAGATGGAAAACCTGCAGTTTTTTTAACCCTTGGAATGCTTCTCACCCTACCATCTGGGGTGAGGTTGTTCCATGCTGGCATGATGCTGAGGGTCATTGGAATTATTGATACTTTGCTTGTGTGTGCATGTGGTCTAGATAAGGTTTCATTTCTCTTAGCTTACCAGAACATAGCTGGGTGGATCGTTTTGTCAAAACTTGTCTTTCTAGTGACTTACTCTTGGCATACGTAACTTACTAGCAAACAGATCACAGTGCATCACTGGGCTTAGACTGAACACCTTGAGTTAATTTGGAAAGTTTTGCTTATTTTATTAGATTAGAACTGCAGCCTTTTCTCTTTTTAAGAAAATGTTTATTTTCTTTTGAGTTATTTGTATGTATATGTACGTGACATTGTGTGTGTGTGTACAGTGCCTGCAGAGGCCAGAATAGGGCGTCAGATCCCGTAGAACTGTAGTTACAGATGGTTCTTAACTGCTCTGTAGGTGTGGAAATCAGACCTGGGTTTTCTGCAGGAACAGCAAGTGCATTTCACTGCTTAGCCATTCATCACTCCAGCCCTACCTCTTATTATGAAACAAAACATACTCATGTCTGGATATTGCAGAAAGAAATTAAAGTTAAGTATCTGTCACAGCATCATCCAGAGACACCATTTGCATTTTACTGTATCTGTCCTTAGTCTTTCTGCACCTGTGTGGGATTTTTATCTTTACAACATTGGAATCATACTGCGCATTTCCTGTTGACTTTTTTATTATTGCTGGGTTGTTTTTGTTTGTTTGTTTTGTTTTTGTTTTTTACACAGGGTCTCACTATGTAGCCTTGGGTGCCCTGGAACTCTTGATGTAGACCTCAAACACATCTGCCGCAGCCTCCCAAGTACTGGGATTAAAGGCATGCGCCACCATACCAAGCTCTTTGACATCTTAAAAAATCTTATTTTTCAATAATTTTTGGTAAAAGCAGGATTTTTAGTTGTGCAGCCTCCTTCTCACATGTCCATTAAGAATACCAAGGAAATTCATCTCAAGTTTCATGGTGTGTGTACAAGACAGTTATATGTGCAAAGTGTTGTAGCTCAGCCCAGGTGAACTAAACTGCTAGTCACGGCTTGTCTCCACCTGCGAGTTTCGGATGAGCAGTTGATGGAATGCTCTCTGGAGTCAGAGATCGGTGCGTCTCCACATCCAGCCTGCCTTGTCCTGGACCATGCTTTAGTGCAGTGGCTCTGCCCACCTGCCTCTCTACAGACCCCAGGGATTGATGGGATTCTCCCACTAGGTGAACAGCCTCCTTCCTGCCTGCCTCTTTATCTTCACCCACCAGTTCTCTCTGCTGCAGCACACGGAGACTGGCCATCGCAGAGCCCCAGGACCACACCCTCATCACCACATAGACAGTGTGGCTCATGGCAATTCTGCCTGCCCACTCAGTCAGCGTCCTCCGAGTCCTCCCGCCACAGCCTGAGGGCAAGCCCCTGTTCCCTGTCCTTCCATCTTCACCTGGCCAGTCCTCTCTACTCCTCCCATTTTCACCCTTCTTCAGAGTCCTGTCCTGTAGAAACCCTGCACCTTCCTTTTCCCACTGATTGTGTGTCACTTCTGTCTCTGTCTGGTCACCACCTCTGTCTTGACTCCTTTTTGCTGTTTCTCAAATCTGTTTTCCAAGAATGACATTCTCACTTGTGCCACAGAACATGCTGTGTCCTGCCCTGTGTCTCACTGGAGACACTCCACAATGTTTCCTTTAGAGAGTGACACACTGGTGATCTAGGTACTTGGCAGAGTGTGGACATCATCAGTGACCCCATAGTTTTAGATCTGTTTATACTTTTGAAATGCACTGAGCCCAAGTACAGGACAGATAGCTTTTACCTCTAAAATATTGCTAGAGGTTGGAAGAGTGGACCAGACATCATCACACGCACATCATAATCTAGGCCCCAGCTCACAAATGGGAGAGAAATAAACCATTCATTCGTATGCTGTAGTTAGGGGACAGAGAGGAGGAGGAAGAGATTCTTCTGACTTGCTCAGTGCTCCAGTTGTATCTTAGTTCCTGCTCCCTCTACATCCCCAGTGTATGTTTACCTGTTTCCCTTCAGAGAGAGAAACACAAGCTGAATCCTAACAGGAACCAACAAGTATACGTGAGAAAAGTCAGAACAAGACGAGAAGAGTGGGAGAGGAGGAAAATGGGCATTGAATTCATGAGTGACGCAAAGAGCCTGGATCAGGCAGTGAGCACAAAGTAAGACGGGAAGCCCAGAGGGTTCGTCATTTTGCTTTCTTGGATTCCCAACCCAAGGTCGAGCCCTGCTTCAGCATCACGGGAGGATGTGCAGCCCCTACTGACTGTCCTGTAACTCGGGCGAGAACATGTGCCTCTTGCTAACACGCTTGTGGTCACCACGTATGCAGTTCTCACCCTCTTCGCAGGCCATGCAGGATGCCCATCGTCAGCCCCTTCCAAACTGCTCACTAATGATCTCCTTCCCTTTAGAGCTCTGTTGTGACGGTGTGCTCACAGCCCAGGAAACCTGTCCGCGTGGCTTTTCCTTCCTTGCTATTGCATTCTGGACCCCACTTTCTTGTCCTGCCGTTAACATGTATCCAGTTCGCCTGCCGTCTAATTAATCGCTGCCATATTTTCTTGCCTCTGCAGTTCTCTGTCCATCTGAGATTTGTTTCTAAATGAAATGGGGTTTGATATATAACATTGTTTTCATAAAAAAAATAATGTGGAATGTTGTGAAAATGAAGGCTCTGGTAGCCCTACTTACTGGTCTGACTTATCAAAGCTTCAAATCTGAATCCATGTAACGCTGGGGCTTGCTGCTAAAATCATTGTTGTGCTTGGAAGCTCTTTCGTGGCTGGACCTAGCTGATCATAAAAGGAATAAGTGTCTCATCCTTGTGTACTGACAATGCTGTTATTTGTGGATATGCATCTTCTTCTCAGGAGACATTTTTAAAACTTCAATCTCTCCCCCCCCCCCCCAACCATTTCCTCGGAAATCAGGTCTCACACGTCCGATGTCACCGATTACTCTTATCCTGCTACTCCCAGCCACTCTTTGCAAGCACAGCCGGTGACACCTTCCTGCACAGCTGGTGACACACCACTGCATGGAACCACAAACCAAGGCGCTGAGCATGAGTACCGACCCTCGTCTGCCTCAGCAAGGCACATGGCCCTAAACAGACCTCAGCAGCCACCGCCCCCACCTCCTCCCCAGGCCCCAGAGGGGGCCCAGGCTTCTACATCAGTGGCCCCGACTGACTATGGGTAAATTACTATTCATGTTCACTGTTGCTCTTGAATTTGTGTCTTGAAAGAATTTTATCACATAGAATATAGTCAAGAATGGTCAGGCATACTGTCAGTGTTGACTGAGTCTATGCCAAATAAAATAGGTGTAGAACCCTGTCACATCTAAGGTGGGCAGTGTGTTTGTGTGTGTTCCCCCGTTCCTCTGTTCATATACTGACTCCAAGCCAAGGTAGCAGTAAAGGGTAAAATGTTTATTAGCCAACCTGTTCACACCTTCAAGTTTCTCAAGGAGTGCTGGTCATAGACAATGAAAACATGTAATGTCACTCCTCTCCATTCATCCTATAAGCCCCTTTCTCAGCCTCTGGGCTCCTGGTGCATTCCACCCTACACCCTCTTGCTTTCTGATCTGTGGGTTGAATGCCTCCACTGTGTACAGACCCCTCCTGATCATGTGTTGATTCATTTGAGCCCCTCCCCTTTATTTTGGTAGGTTGCCTTTAGCTCTTTCAAAATTAGTCTTCAAGATGCTCCCTACCCTAGTGTCTGCACACAGAGAAGTTGAATATAGCAATGTGCCTCCACCAGAGTGCTGGCATTGTTTTCTAATTGTACCCACAGCCTGAAAGAGGAGAGAGACCACAGGGTCTGGGTGTCCCCTATCCTTAGGCGTTGGCTAAGCTGGGATTACTAGAATGTGTTTTAAGGCTGCTACATCAGGCACATGGAGAGTGTTGTAATTTAAAAAAGCGGAGCATGAGAGAAAGACGCCATGGGGCAGGATAGAAGCAGAGGGTGTTGTTGTTGTTGTTGGGGAAAGGGAAGGGGGAGACTGGCCTCCAGAGACAGGAGCAGCAGGAGAGAGGAGAAGCGAAAGAGAGAGGGGAGAGAGAAAGGGACAGAGAGGAAGAGAAGAGAGAGGGGAGGGCGGGAGGTGGGCAGGGCCCTTTAAAAGGGAACATAGTGAATATGCACAGGTGGTGCTCTTAGTGGCTGCTACTGAGGGCGTATCCTGTCAGAACCCCAAGGACAGGCCAGTACAGATGCCTGAACACTAGAGAGTCTGTGGTTTTCAAAACCATTGCCATGTCCCTTGGGATGTTTGACATGACACTGGGCCCCTTAACCTTGGAGATTCTCATCAGACAGGGTCAAAGAAAACAGCATCCTCCCAAACCCTGTCTCCTAGGCTTCAGAAGCCTCATGAGATAAGATAAAGAGCTACACAGCATCTTTGAGGTACCCAGGATGAAGAGAGCATTAGCCTTTTACTGTCATGAATATACCCTAGCCATCCAGAGGTTTGTTTTTCAAATGGTCGTTTTAGGTGCATTTCAGTGGGTTTTTCATTGTCGTGATGAATTGTATGTATAAGACTGGAAGAAACTTTCAGAGTGGACATGCACACCCACAGTGACTCCGTCTGGCTGGCAGCAGCACACACTGTGTCTGAAAGGGTCTCCTCTATAAACTCTGTTAGAACCTGAAAGATGTGACCCTCTCTAGTAACTGTATCTTATTGTTCTTTAGGATGCTTCCAGCACAGATAATTGAATACTACAACCCCTCAGGACCACCACCGCCTCCCCCTCCACCCATGATTCCTTCAGCACAAACTGCCTTCGTCAGCCCTCTCCAGATCCCCGCACAGCCCCCATTCCCTGCCTCAGCTGCTTCCCACCAGCCCTCCACCGGGCTCTTGGCCACAGCACCACCACCTCCAGGCCCCCCACCTCCTCCACCTGGTCCTCCTGGCCCCTCGTCTCTTTCATCCTCCCCACTGCATGGCCCCCCTGTGGCTGAGGCAAAGCGCCCAGAACCTGCACAGTCGCCCATAAGTGATGCAAGAAGTGACCTCCTGGCTGCCATCCGGATGGGTGAGTGCACACCTCATGTCACAGTCTCCCTTTTAGAAGAGACTGCCTTGGGGTTAAGCTAGCTACACTGCCTTCAGAAATAACTGTACAATCTCTTATTTCTTTCTTAAAAGATGGGAGTCTTTTACTGGTAGCATGGAAACACATTATAAAAAAAAGTTAAAGATTCAGAAAATGTGTGCTTAACAAGAAACCAGAAATTAGACATCAAATGATAGATTAAGTAATAAGACCTTTCTCACTTTGTACCACAAGAATAAAATGGAAGAAAGTGAGCCACCAGCAATGGTTTCATTTTAAACAAATCTAAGTTTACTCTGGACTCGGCAGAGAAGCTCCATGTGCCAAGCCGGTGGTTCCGGCATTTATTCAGCAGCATAGAGATTGTGCCAGGCAAAAGTCCTGCCCTCACCGCCAGTCCCCAATACAGGAGAGGTGTCACTTTCATCATGTACACTCAGTAGAGGGAGCCTGGCGCCTGGCCTGTCTGACTGTTCTGGAGCCTTCCAGGAAGACCTGTGTGTGTAGTACCATTCATCCTTAGCCAATCAAAGCCCAGGGTGGCCAGGGCAGAGACAGGCCATGGGATTCTCACAGGGCTGCTTGAGCCTTGGGGAACGAACAGTACAGCCTCCTGGTTACAGTTTGTCTCAGCTGAAAATAAATGAGGGCAGTTGCTAGTCTGCAACCCTAGGAACTCCACTGGCATAATATCTTTGACAGAGCTGTGATGCAGCTGCCTCTGCCTGAGCTCATTGAACCAGGCCAATGTGTGTTTGTGCATTGTGCGCACGCACACACACACACACACACACACACACGCGCGCGCACAAACTCACAAATGCCACTCAGAGTTTCCTCCAAGTACCTTGAATGTCATTTATAAACTTCAGTTTGTCAAGAAATGAAGTCTGAAAGGCAGAATGCCGTAAGGGGCAGTCAGCTTTCCTGTCATAGGAAGAGAGTATTAGATGTGCTTTTTGTACACCCATGGCCAGTCCAGTGAGCCCATAACCGGAGACTGCCATGTTCCGAAAGGCCATCTCCATTCTCTGTAGATGCAAAGCCTGTACATATAGAGATCAAAGCACTGTCCAGATTAAAGTTACCAGAAATGGGGGCAAATGGGGCAGGAGATGGCTGTATCCTGAGCCAGGGAAAATGCCCCCAGTAGATTGGCTTAATGGTAGCATTTGAATAATATTTATGAAGAAAATAGAAACATTGTTTATCTATGTTAACTTCTGGTTTTGATGTTTTCTTCAGGAAAGAATATGTGAAGCATTTTAGTAGTATAGGAACATTATGTCCCATGTAATTCCTGAAAAGTCCAGAGAAGAATGAAGTGTGTGTGTGTGTGTGTGTGTGTGTGTGTATGTGTATGCCTGTGCCTTTGTCTGTGTCTGTGTCTATGTCTGTATGTTTGTGTGTGACAGATTGGAAAAGCTTCTTCCAACGCTGTCAAGACAAATAATATGGGAATATTTTTCTCCTGGTTTCATAGAGAGCCCATAAATCTGAAATTTTGTCAAAGAGAAAGATTTAAAGTGGTCCAAGTTAAATCCCCTGCATACTGTGTTCCCACACAGTTGTGAAGAAGGTTGTATATTGTGTCCATTACCTGCAGTAGACTTAGCACACCCATTCTCTCCATCCTCAAATGGCCACCACCATTTGTATTTGTAAACTCAGTAGAAACGGGGAGACCTGTTTGGTTTTCCTTCACTGGGAGCTAGCGAAGAGACTGATTCTCCTCCCCACACTGCGTTTTCAGGAATTCAGCTGAAAAAAGTTCAGGAGCAACGAGAACAGGAAGCCAAACGGGAGCCTGTCGGGAATGATGTGGCCACAATCTTGTCTAGACGCATCGCCGTGGAGTACAGTGACTCAGATGATGACTCTGAGTTTGACGACAATGACTGGTCCGACTGAATCGCACAAGGCTGGGCAGCAGGTGGACAGCCAGGGCACCGTATGGCAGTGTGTTAGGAGCGTGTGTGATCTCTGCACCCACATAGTGGTGTTACCCTGTAGCTTTAGTAACTTTTGTATTAACAGTGTGCTATTGCTTCTGCACATCCTTCTGGATTTGTTGAGTATTTACTGTGTAATACTTAAGTGCCACTAAACACAGCACACCGTGCTGCACACCAGGAAATACGCTGTAACTAGTGCATAGTCCTGAAATAGCATCTCGCTTCCCTCTTGGCCCTGAGTCTTCACTCTTGTGCATCCTGATTGGGCAGACTTGCCATGTGTGGGTGGAGCTGCCGGCGTCAGGTCTTTGCAAGATGAATGGCTATGTGTCTCAGTGATGTCTTCCAACTAGTAGGTGATACTGCTTTACTGTTTCTTTCCTTTGCAGGGTGATTTCTAGGTGGACTTGGTTCTAGAGGGAGAGGTTTAACGAATAAGAGTGAGATGTTTCTCCATTTGGACTCCTGGCCTGGTGGCCTTCGAGTGAATGTGTGTGCTCTGCTTTGCTTGTATGCTATGTTGTTTCTGTTGGCTTTGCACCCACAACAGAGGGCTCCCTTTTCAACAGGGGCCCCTGTGGGCACTCACATGGGAAGTGCTCACTAGTGACATTTGTTCAAAGCTGCAAATGGGACTCACTATAGTGGCCACCCCTGATAGTGTGGACACCAGTGAGCCAGGCCAGATGCAAGCTGCCCAGAGTTACAGATCTTACATGGCAAGCTGCCGCATCTGGTCCCCTCCTACCCCACCCAGCTCAGATGAGACCTACACATTCCATTTCCTGGGATCCCTGCTCCTTTGTTCACCAGGAGAGAGCATAGCTCAGCACCTCATCCCACTCGCTCAGAATCTTAGGGGCTTGGGCTTAGCTGAGAGATGTCGCCAGCTGTTCATGACCCGCGGTGCTGTGACTGGATTCACACTCAGTCTCTCAAACAGGGCCTTCACCCCCTCCGGAAGCACAGTGCTCTTCTCTCATGTTGTTGGCACATTTTAATTTTTTAAAGTACCTCACCAGATAAACTGGATCCAGCCTGTTGCCATGACAGAGAACCCTGACCTCCCCCTGTTGTCTGGTCCCTGGCATAGGCAGGGGCTCTAACTCCAGGAGGACACTGTCAGCTTTGCAGTTGGAAGGACAGCTGCTCATTTAAATAAGTCACTGGGTGTCCCAGGCTTGGGTTACGGAAGGACCTCATGGATGTGCTAGGACCCCGATGCCCCAGAACTCCTTAGGTGCACACATCAAATGGACTACAGCCCATAGTATCGCTCACTTTTGATGAGAAGCGGAACCTAGATCTGGGGCGAAGTCATGTCAGTCCATGCAGAGTGTCAGTGGGATAGTGAAAAGTCACTTTTGCTCATGAGTGTGGGGACATCACCCAGCTGCCCACATCACCCTCTGGGTGAATGGACACCTGTCTACTTGGGCAGCCATCTTGTAACACCTGCCTGTAGTAAGTTTTAGTCACATCGAATTTAACACTAAAAACCCATCTAAGCCCCCTCCCTGTTCCCCGCTTTGGCATGTGTCCCAGTATTCTCTGCTGCTGGGTGGACTGGCATGCACTTCCAGTGATCATCCTGGAGCCTGTACACACATGGCCATTACTATGACTCACTGTCATATTACTAATTTTAACAAGCTTCTACATTTCTTTGTCGTTTCCATTTTTACCAGCACGGAGACCTAACTTGTTGGCATCATCCTCACGACTTTGCCATTTTGAGTCGTTTGTTATGCTTACGGTGGTTTGCCTCTGTTGTTCCTCCTGTGTTCCTGTGTTCCTGTGCCCTGTGGAACTCCAGAACTCACATTTGGCAGCACTCCTTCATGTGGTAGGGTCCTTATGTTCTCAGGGTGGAGGAAAAACATTACAGCTACCAGCCATTGTCAGGGTTTCTTTTACTGATATCACATCATAATGAAGTTAGTGGCACTTTATTCATAAATATTCTTGTTGATTGTCCTGTAGTTTCATCAACCAGTTAGTTTTAGTTTGTTATAGCTAGTGAGAAAGCTTTTGCCCACTGTATTCTGTAACCTTTGAAAGAATGGAAGGTGACTAAAATACAGTTTAGATTATCTTCAGAGTATCTTTTCAGCAAATTTGATCTAATCTAAAATTTAAACCCAGGTTGCTTCTAACACAATACTTTATAAAAGAGCACAAAGTAAAAAGTTTAAAGTTTCTGTTTCTATTTTTTAAAAGAATCTACTGAAACAAATGGAGAACAGAATTTCATAGCATATTTGCTTTCTATAAAGCTCATGCTTATAGTTATAAATTCTAAGATTGTTTTAAATTGTTCCCAGCTTTATTGTTCCCTGTGTATTTTAACTGAGTATCTGACATGTTTTTTTCTCATGGTATAGACTCAGGAAGATGGATAGATGGAGGGGTGGGTGGGGAGTGGGTAAGCAGATGGATGATGGATGGATGGATGTGTTGGTGGGTGGGTGGATAGATGGGTGGGTGGATGAATGGATGAGAGGTATGTGGGTGGGTGGGTGGATGAGTAAATGGATGGGTGGATAGATGGATCAGTGGGTGGATGGGTGGATGGATGATAGGTAGATGGGTGATGGATGAATGGGTGGTAGATGGATTGGTTGTAGATGGATGCATGAATGGTTGGAGGTATGAATGGGTAGTGGATGGATGGATGCATGGATAGGTGGTGGATAGAAGATGCCTGAGTCTGCACATCACTGCCCTGCAGAAGGTAAATGAGTGCACAAACCATGAGCTTATACTTAGATTTTATTCACTAAGATGCTGCTAGAAGGTGGATGTTTTCATCCCCATTCATTTTTAACACATCAAAATTGTTATGAGCATAGGATGGGAAGGGTCGTGAAAACTTTGTAATATTTTCAGCAGAAATGTGTGATACATTGGAACCTTTAAAGACTGCAAAGAGTGTATCAGCAAGACTAGTAAGGGTTTTTTGTTTGTTTTGTTTTATGAAGGAGAGTATCTATTATCTTGCAGTATTATCAATGCAGTTGTGAATTGAATCTAAAGTATTAAAAACTGTCAAACAATTTTTAATCTGTTTGTATATCTTACTATAGATCACAAGTAACATCTAAATAAAATCACCCGTGTAACCCTACGTGGCTCTGTTTGTTTATGACAACACTATGTGCTCAACCCCACTGGGAGAGAAGCTGGGCACATACAGGATCTGTAGCTGACATTATCCTCAGGAGACAGTGGAAGATCCCACTATGATCTGCATTAAATTTCTGTGGGACCACAGGTTCAGAGCGAATTCTGCGAAAGCCATGAGCAAACGCTAGTGTAGGTAGATGTCCTTTCAGACATGGTGACAACATGATCACTGAGTAGAGACCAGGACAGTGACGGTCTCAGCTGCATTGAGTCTCCATAATAATCATGCATTATCTGTGACCCACATGTTATATGAGGTACTTTACTTACATCTTCTCAGGAGGGTGCTTGCCCTCTTTCCCCCAAGGAAACTAGAGTAAAGTCACCTGGCTAGATGCAGAACACAAGCTGGGGGTAGCATTTCATTTGTGGATCAGTGGAAATCAAGCCTGGCCTGGGTAAGTAGTGAGGAAATGAATGTGCGCTTCCTTGGATGGCTGCTTTTGAGCACCAAGAGTGCCCTGTGTGTCTCCACTGTGAGTCTTCACACAGGATGCCAGAGTCTTTGCACAGCCTGGAGCACAGTGCTTGACCTACTCAGAAGCCTGTGATCGGTGCCCAGCTACTCGGTAAATGATGAAATGAGGGATGGTTCCCCACCTTTGTAAACAGAAAGTAAATGTAAACTGCCTTTAAATACATGGCATATCCAGTCTTTGACTGTAGATGCTGCCCCAGGCAACTGTAGGACTTCTCACACTTGCTCTCATTGGAAGCAGGATTTCAGTAGAAACTCCACCATCTTCCAGGTGAAAACACCAAAGCCAGCCCATTGCCTGGAGACAGAACTGAGGCTCCAAGCCCAGCCTTCTGCTCAGACCTGCTCTTGTACCCTTGTCACTCAGGCTGTAGAGGGATGCTGGTGGTAGCTCAAGATATTTGTCACTGTGCTGGAGCTGCCTGGCACCTCCAAGACGTGCTGGTGCAATGAAAGTCTCCCAGAGATGTCTGTCTTACAAAGTCTTTTCATAGCAGCTTGCAGGTCAGATCCAGGGGCCAGTCTTCTCCCACATGTGTGCTTCTAGCCAATGGTTGAGCCTCTAGAGCTGTGGAGTTGCTCTTATAGCCTGATCTACAGAGCAAGTTTTCAGCACAGCCAAGTTAGACAGGGAAAGACAGAAAGATGGTGAAGTTGTAATTGAATGAGGGGGCCATGTTCCAGGTCCAGTAATCAGTGGAACTTGGCATCTTCAGACACGTGGTTCTGGCTTTTGAGTTAAGGATAAATGAAACAGGCTATGGAATTTGCTTCTGCTGTGAAAGAAAGCCACCAAGGTCAGGCATGTGTCAGGGGTGTCCTTGAATGGAGGCCTAGGGAAGCCATTGTGTGAAACTGTGAAGTTGAAACCTGGATTGCCATGGAGAACCCAAGATGTTGGAGATGCCAAAGTTACGGCATACCTGCCAAGGAGAGATGCTAACAGAGAGTGGAACCAGCCCAAGAGAGAGAAGTGTGTTGCAGTCAACAGAGTTGAACAGAGTTGGAGATCTGAAGAGAATTTTGACATAAGACAGAGTTAGGAGTTTGCCCAGCTGTTTTCTGGTTTTGCTTTGGTCCAGAATTTCCTCACTATGTTCCCCTCCTTATGTTTTTGGATGGTAATGTGTATCCTGTGCCATTATATGTTGGAAGTATGTGATCTGTTTATTTTATTTTATAGGGGATTACATGACTCTCAGGAGAGACCTTGAACTTTAAGACATTGTTAAGATTGTGATAGACTATGGAAACTTTTGAAATTCAACTAAATGAATTTTGCATTGTGATATGGCTACAAGCCTATGGGGAACAGGAGTGGAATATGGTGGTTTGAATGTAATTGGTCCCCATAATCTCATAGGTAATGACGCCATTGAGGAAGTGAGGCTTTGTTGTAGTGGGTGTGACCTTGTTGGAGGAAATGTGTCACTGTGGGGGCAGATTTTGAGGTTTCCTCTGACCAGGATAGCACTCAGTGTCTCAGATGTAGGACTCTCTGCTACTACTCCAGAACCACATCTGCATGCACACTGCCATGTCCTACCATGATGATAATGGACTGACCT